GTTGTCAAAAATTATGACTAACAAGATACGGGAGAGCCTCATAAGATAATTCTTATAAAAAGATTAACATTTACCATGTACTACTAATGGAACATAATTGTAAGAGATTTAAAAATAAATAGTTGGAAAAATAATAAACATTCATTGCATGTAAAATATGGAACCAAAATGAATTTTAAAATGGTAGAAAAATACATTAACACAATAAATTTGCTTATTCAACATAGGGATATGGCCTACTATACAGAAATTAGTTTCTTTAAACACTTGTTTTAAAAAAAGAAACGTTTTTCTTTGGACTCTGTTGTGTCATGAGGTTATTCTATAAACAGGTTTCTATTGTAGACCCTCACTAAAGGTCAAAACTTTTAAGGTACAATCCTCACACACACACATAAAAAAAAGTCAGGGAAAACCTTTCACACATCCCGAAATAGAGAAAATTGCTAAAGAAAGGAAAAAAAGCCCCCTTGACAGATAAGCAATAACTCTGCTTACACAGTAATTTATGGTAATATCAGAAAGCTTTTGATAAAACTTCACACATATTGCAGGGTAGGACACTGGAAAAGATTTAAAAAAAGAAAAGACCCAAAGAGATAGGGGAAATTAAACTATTTATAGAGGGGGAAGTATTTTGTAAAAGAAAATTTGGCAATTGGTTTTGATAGTCATAACAATTTATGTAATTTTTATGTGCATTGGGGACTTGCTGTCTGAAAAAGTGGCAAGCTAACATTTTCTCCATTATTACAAAAAGTCATTTTTGAGAACAATAAATATGAGAAGGTTTAAAATATATATATTTCTGTGTGTGCATGTGTGTGTGTGTGTGTCATAAACTATACACATAGTAAGACATCTGGTAATATTTGTGAGCCAAATAAATTTCTATCATTTGTTTAGTTTAGATCTTTTAAACTCTCATTTTTATTTTATTTGATAGCAAATCAATTTTCCAATAAAATAATTTTGCCTTTGGGGTATTATAATGAAAAAACAATTTAAAATATATTTCTATAACTACTGAAAAGTACTTTCATGCTAGATATGCAGTAAATAAATGAAGAAATATTCACATGAGTTGCACTTCCTTTCTTGTTATCAAAAAAATAATGAGCCTTAATTTACATATTTCTCCATCAACCCCTTAAGCCCTTATTAAGGTCAAAGCTTGAATATATTTGTTATTCTACAGAATTTTATATTTTGAAGTTTAAAGTACTATTTAGTGCTCTGATTTCACTTTCTATATTAAAAAATATATAAATGAAATCAATGAAGACTTTTTAAATGAATTTCCTTATATTCTTCAGTGACCATTTTAAATAAACTGTCCCTGATTTCCTCTGAACTTCAATACATCTTTGGCCTGTCATTGTCATTCTTAATCATTGATGTCTCAATTCAGTCTCCGACAACAACCACTACGAAGCTCTTCATTTCAGGAAACTGAAAACATTTTGTCATGCAAAAAGAGCATATTATGGGAACTCTAGTTACTTGTTTTTAAAGAAGACTGACAAGAAAATTTGGATAAAGAAATGCAAGTCTGTCTCTGTTCTCCCTAATAAATCTCACTTGAGGCAGAGCTTCAATGAGTAGTTCTGGAAACTTCTTAAACAATATACATATATATCACTGACCTGGATGGTCAACCATTTCAAGCTGGCCAATGCTTTTCAATAAAGATAATATCAGAATCTGAAGGAACTGGTTTGAGTTTCTGAAGTATTTTGAGGAAATATTTTGTGAGAATGGGAAGCATATTTTAATGCCATTCACATGTTTCCCTGATAACGAAAGCTGATCTGCAAGGGCGCTGAAAGCATTACAGGCTAATTTCATTGCAATGTCGGGGTCTGAGAGGGAGGTGAGGAGAACCAGGAGTTGGGTGGGGGTTCAAGAGCATGGAGGTGAACATGGTTGACCCACTGGAAAATCACTAAGTGCTGGAACCGACTCTAGAAGGTTCATGTTTTGAGCCTTTATGGCAATTGTGCAGCTCTCTTGAAAATTTACACTGTCATTTTATTTATAGCAGATGTCTCTTAAAGCAAACATTTTTACTTCATACTATACAAATATTACGGAACATTGCAAGCATAATGTGGAGTTTTGGTTGTGCCGTAGAAATCTACAGTATTTTCTGTAATGGATTATGAGCAAGGGGAAAAAAACTGATACTGATCTAAGGCTGAAGGATAAGGGGTAATCAAAACAAGGCTTCTGCAGATACTTTTATGAAACTTGTTTTCAAAGAAAAGGCAAAAGTTGAAACTGTGGATTAAACCAACTAAATTAAACCATTGTGTATTCAAAATACATTCGGCACTTTAGAATAAAATGACCAGAAGCCAGGGTGAGGCAATTCCACTGTCTGAGCTATTCAAACAAAAGAGTGTTTATTTGGATTTTCCTAAACAAAACTTGTATTTGATTCTTGTGCACACCCAGTGGGAAAAAATATCTAAATATATATTTCATTATTCTACCAGTTCTGAATTGTGGTTCTCTTGTGAACTGATTTTGATATAGTGACTAAAATGTATGCTCTGTGGCTGCTCAGTAATTGCTGAACTGCCTGATGGAAAAGTTTTAGATCTGAAATTTAGCTCTTAATATAAAATAATATGAAATATAATGTGCAATTAAAGGAGAAAGTAAATTCTGTTTAGAAACAGAATTCAAAAATAGAGAATTACATAAACTTTGGAAATTAAAATCCATATAAGTAAAACCTGTATTTCTGAGAATTCGCTGTTTCTTAGGCATGATTTATAACAATACACATTTCAAAAAGGAAGTCATTAAAATAATGTGGCTGTTATGTTTTCACAGGCCTTTTTGAGAGTTTAACCAGTACAACAGAATAATCTCCCTGGACTCTAAAAACACAAATCCGTGACAAGGACATAAGATTGATGGAATTTGTAATCATATATTTTTACTTATGTAATAAATTTGTAATTTCAAGGACATTATTCAAAATGACCACACTGCCTTACAATGTGTGGATTCCTGTGCTGTTTTGCATTAATGTGTGCAGAAAAATTTTACACTTAATCTGCCATTGGTGCTTCAGTGGGTTGCTTAGCATTATAATTCTGGTCACAGATGAGGGTTAAAATATCTCTAACCTTTACAAATGTATTATGTGGCACCACTGACATAGCTTTCATTGCAGATAAAATCTATGGCAAATTTTCTGTATGACAAAAGAAGAACATGATTTCATATTAAATTCTGATGATAGAGACATATTTCTCTACTTGTACTTCTGAAATGTTTTGGATATAGTAACAATGGACAACACTTCCTCTTCGAGTACATCAATAAAAACCTCAAAATCCACTTCATTTTTATGGGTCCAGAGCTTCAGTAAATATTTCTTAAGCAGAACTAAAAAACAGTGTGAAAAATGTTCAGAATTCAGCTCACTTCTAACCTTGCTGATCAAAACAGACAAAACATTCAACTGGTTCAACATAATGAGAAGCAGAAAGAGGAAGCCACAAAAGAGACTGGAAATTGAGTGTTGCCATGAAGGTGTACAAGAGCTCGAGCAAAAGTTTCTCAAATATAAGCATCAAGATAATAGTAGGTCCCTCTGACAATCATTTAAAAGAAAGAATAACGCCTATTATAGTCAGTTTAAGGAGTTATAAAAGCACTTGAGTTTTCAGGGAGTCATAGACTTGTGAAATGTTTCTGACATTCCATCAAAAAACTGATGTGATGACATCATTATAATACATAATTATACAGGCAAGGAATGATTAGAAGTAAATTCATAAGAGCATTTTTTAAAAACAAATTTCACATTGCATTCCAGACATCTTCTTTCTTCCTTCTTCCCTTAGATTGAATGATCAAGAGAAAGGTAGATAGAATTTTCTCCTGATTTCTTTTCTGGACAATTTCTTAACAAATGAGAATTCTATTGGTCCGCATTTTTTTTCATGTTTTGTGATTGTCAAGAACTTTACATAAATCTATGTCTGATGATACAAAGTGTCTAATATTGTACTGAACCTCTTCAAAATTACCTATTCAGGGGAAAGTATCCCTTTAAACTGCCAGGATGCCTCACAGCTATCAGGGGCTGTGTGGACTGTGTTTAAGATTCTTGGGGATCTGCTGAAGTTGAGTCTTCATTTTTTGCTTTCTCTGCATGCCACTAGGGACTTCCCTAGACTATTTGAGGAATAGGCCTTTAATTGCAAGATTACCAGAAACCAGACCCAACGAGCTTGGAGTAGCAAACAGTCAAAATGCAACCCCCTACGCAATAAAAAAAAAAAAAAAAAGAACAAAAAAAAAAGTGACATGTGGCTTTAATTTTATTTCATTTATTTATTCTTTCAATTTATTTTTAAAAATTCTTGTCCATTGCTTCAGCCTTTGGGCCCATGTGCATAATAAAAAACATTGCTGGGAATAAATAATACATATTAACTCTGTCTATTACAATTCCCCCCCTAAAAAGTCCATCAAAATGACTTATTTTATAGTAAGGAGTCTCAATTGCAAGTCTATTAGTAAAATAATTCTATTAAATTGTATGATATTTCTAACATCAATTAATTACATTTATATCTAGCTCTATAGTGTAATGACTCATAATATTAATTGTGATTTTAATTTAGAAAGAGAACTTGTAAAGTTTGCCTCGAGTTTTAGTGTTTAATGATTTTTCCACATTTAGACTGTGTCTACAAATTGAGACTTTTCCATTTTTCTAGTTAAACAACTGGTCATTTCAAAGCTTCGTGTTGATTATTTTTCTCCACTGAATTGACCAATTTAATTTGCTCAGGGGCAATAAAGAAACACAGTATAATAAACAAACTAAAAGTGACTACAAAATAATGTTTCACTTTGGCTATTTACTGTTCACTTTTGGCCATATGACCAGAATTTTATTTTCACAAATATTAGAATCGGAGTTTCCAGTGGCTGAAGCCAGAGAAGTCCCAGAATTCTATTTGAAAATAAAGTATTGTCATGCCTGACATTAGTTAATAAAACCGACTAAGATGTCTATACTGGATCAGCAGTAAGTTGATTCTTTCCCACAATCAACAAGTTTTACATTCTATCATTGCACCGCAGAAAGTAGCCTGGCTGCAAGGTGACCTTGGCCTGGATCTCAGCACCTCCATAGGCAAGCCATATACTTCTTTGTAACTCCATTTCCTCATCTGTAAGACAAAGATTGATGATGAAATGAGGTAGTAGATATAAAGTGCTTAGAACAGAATCTTTCTCAAGTAATCAATAAATGTTTGCTATTATTATTATTGTCATTCAACCTAATATTGATATTCAGATTTTTCACTTCTAACATGTTATGCCACTTGCCTGAAATAACCTTCTCTTTCTGTCTTGCCTTTGTAAATTCAATACTTTCTTCATAGTTCAGCTGAACACCAGCCCAAGGTGATCTCTCTTTTCTCTCAACTCATATTGACCTTTTTTCCCAAATCACAGTTTGAGACATGTGTATATTCTCCAAAGATTTCTTACTTCCACACACAAAAAAAGTACAAGTTGCTTGAAGAGGAGGACAGCTTCCTACATTTCTTGAGTCTAGATTTGGCATGTGATGCACGCTGCAACCACGTCACAGTTAACTCACAGAATCCAAAGAGTTAATGAGCCAGAGCTTATGACATCCTTTATTTTTCCTGGTCAAGTTAGAGAAATACATTGTTTCAACAGAAACCTACTTTGTTTCTTTGAATTTTTGTTTGTTTGTTTTTGTGTTATTTTTGCTTAAACACAACAATTGATGTTCCTTTAATGGTGACTTTATATAATTCTGCCTTTGGATTACAAAACACATTTTTACTCACTAAAATTCTTTGGATTGAGTCCAACAAACTCCAGGATTATGTAGTGTTTTCCTCTATACTGCAGCCTTTCCAAAACAGGTTTTATATCTTAATGTCGCATTGCAGAATATACACACAGATTCTTGAAAATGTCTGTCAGGCTCTTTCAATTCCCTGAAGCCAAAACAAATATGTCTACTATTATTGGCACAATTAAGAGTTACAATTATTAGGCATGGCGTTTATATACATGCAATTCTTATTGTTAACAATGGGAATTTCAAATATTTAATATTTGCGTATGGATTTCATTTAAGCCCACTAAATAAGTGGCTTGGAAAAAGAGAAATAGTTGTCTGAATTATTACATGTCTAGAAAATGACCTTTAAATTTTTTAATTGCCTCATATTAGTAAAAACAATCTGTTTGCATATTAAAATGAAGCCTCGAAGAATGTGATTTCATTGCTTATTTCATTTTGTTATTTTGTTAAAATCATAGCTCTTATCTAGTTATCATTCATTTCTTCTCATCATAAGCCAGAGTCCTTTAATTCTTTCACTGTGTCATAAAAGATTCAATAAATTCTGATTTGCATTTCAAATTCAGCTCTTTTTCCAGAAGGACATCAGATTCAATGACAATTACATCACTAATCTCTTTAGCACTGACAGTGGGAAGCCAAGCTCAAGCTCCTTCTGACTGAAGTCCTAAAGATGGAAGGACATGGAATGTTCCTTCTCAGCAAGGGTGAATTTTTATTTTGGTAAAATCTTCATTTTATTTTCATTAATGAATATGTGCTCATTTAAGCCACTTGCTTTGGTTAAGCATTTCACACTATTTGTCTCTTTCTCCTTTCATGAACAAATGAGCATCTTATTATTTTTGCTAAAAAAAGAGGAAACTTAACAGTGTTGATTAAGCACAGTAATCTGTTGTTCTTGTTATTGGTGTTATGTTGGAAATATTCAGGAAATTATATTCATATAATTTGGGGAAGTATTTTTCCATTTTGTTGTTGTTTAACCAATTGTAATGACATAAATGTAAGTGCTCATGTATGTATATGTGTGTATACGTATGTATGTGTAAATAGTATCTACAAATATTTTGACACCTAGTTTCAGAGACAAAGATAAATCTACCTCTTAAATAAATGTATTGTGAATTAATTATTGTTCTTCTAGATTCTATATACAATTTCCTCTATCTTCAAAGACTTGTCACAATTGGAGTCAATAATACTGCACAAATTACACACAGTTGAAGCAACTGTATTTCTGGTACTTTATAAATGTTGCTATCTCTGTGAAGGAAGAAACAATTTAAAGTAAACATTGAAGTCATTATAACAATTTAGTATAGACTTTAATGAAGTAATTATCAAATATTCCGATATGCACAAAACATGGGCAATGAATAGAAACTAAAGAGAATTTTCAAAAAGAATATCAACTTCCAAACTATTTGGTTATGTTATACTGAATTAAAATAATTTTCTTTAATTTGTACAGTGGAGATTTTAATGTATAAAATTTTCTGGCTTTTAGCATATCAACTTATTTTAAATCCTAATTATTTTACCTATATCACAATTTTAAGCTGTATACTATTCAGGTAATAGCTACTAGCCAATAAGTATTTTTAAATTACTTTTTACGAATAAGACATTTTGCATTAAAAGTACATTTTAGAAAGCATAGGGGTAATGATAGGTGGCAAAGTACAAGATCACAAAAACCAAAAGAATACATGTTATTTCTGTATTTTTTAAATTAATAGATCTGTTTTGACTACACTGAACCTAGTTCAGTCAACCAACTATTATAAGCACTTATCTTTTCAAGTATAAAACAGGTACTGAATGAATGCTTATTAAATTAAATTAAGGAGAAAAAGAGTCAATAAGTGACTCAACTTGTAGTGACCAAGAAATTCTGTAACTATGACAGGATAAACTGGTCAATTAACCAAATGAATTGTTTGATTCCATCGTTATTTTTTAATTCAAACATAATGGAGTTACAATGGAAAATCTTAGAAAACTTAGTATCAAAAATGCATTGAAATCTAAAATAAAATCTACAACAAAATATGGATATATTTCCAGGTTAATTTAGTGAAAATTAATTTCCAGGTTAGTTTAGTGCAAAATGCCTAGTTAAGTGAAGGACTTGGATGTACGTGTGGGCCCAAGCATTCAAATTTATTTAAGGCATATACATCTTGTACAGGGGAGCCTTCAGAATGAAGCCTTCCTAGGTGGAAAGAAGGAAGGAAGGAGTGAAGGAGGGAAGGAATTTAAAAATTGATTAAACAAATAAATAAGTATTCATTTATCAAAAATAGTGTGTTGGCTGAGCTTGGTGGCTCACATCTGTAATCGAAGCACTTTGGGAGGCTGAGACAGGTGGATCGTTTGAGCTCAGGAGTCTGAGACCAGTCTGGGAAACATGGTGAAACTCCATCTCTACTAAAAATACAAAAATTAGCCAGGCATGGTGACCCATGCCTGTGGTCCCAGCTACTTGCGAAGCTGAGGTGGAAGGATCTCTTGAACCCAGGAGGCAGAAGTTACAGTGAGCCAAGATGGCACCACTGCACTCCAGCCTGGGTGACCCTGTCTCAAAAAAAAAAAAAAAAAAAAGGTGTGTTGATAAAACAACGTAATAAATAGCAACTTTTCAAGTATAAGTTAGGTAAATATTTCTTTTGCCCCTCCCCTTTCTTATCTAAATCCATTACTTTGCACATTTTTTGAGAGAATAAAACATGAATTTTTTAATTACTATCTTGGTCTATTACTGCATAATAAAATAAATTTTTTTTAGTTTGTAAAAACTGAATCATGAATTATCTGTATAACTCTATATATACAGTATGTGTGTGTATATGTACACATAATTAAAGGTTTGTTAATTCTGGAAAACAGTACAAAAATGAACTTGTGTGCTAAACTGCAACTAATATTTTTATTTTCTATAATCTGATTATATAAAAAATATCAGTAATGAGCTTAGAGTACATAAATTATTCTCTGGGTGTTAATTGCACTCACAAAGCTACATCTGCTGACACCAAAATTGCTAAATGGAAAAAAAAAGATATCTGTATTATTACCCAAACAATGCCCGTTTATACAGATATTAAGAAACAGTTGTTTGTTACCTTCCAATTAAACATATCTAAATGTTTTGTGTCATAACAACCAAATAACTGAATGACTGACTAAATTCTCTAGCAGGATGTTTGTGCATTATGTAGACAGAACCAATGAATTACTGTACTTTTACAATGCCTGGATAAATTCTCGGAAGTTTTTTATATGCACAAAGACAGTGCAGTTGTATATGACCTTGTTATTACATGTGAAGAATGTTAAGTCTAGGAGAGATGAAACGTTTTCTGATTTTCAGGGGATAAATGTGTAAACACATTTTTGTTCAAAAATGATCTCTTTTTTTTCAATATGCATAGTCACTGAGAGAGACCAGAAAATGTCTCCTAGTGGAAAAATAGGGCAATGGGAGGACATAGTTGGCAAGCGAGAGAGGAGATGGTTGACGGGGCATAAACAGAAAAGATCCCAGAGGCAAAAATTGTATGGGAACAGCTAGTCATGGATGAAGGGGCATATGGGGAGTATACAAACTTGGAGAAGACAAAATTGTGCTGAAACTGACCACTTCTAGTTCCTGAATCTAAAATCCACACATTCACCTGTCCTGATGCCCTGGAATTTCAATACTCCAGACATAGCTGTTACCATGCTGCTTTAAAAAAGTGCAGCGAGCTAATGCAGTGTGAGTTAACATTCACTGAATTAATCAAAAGTTTTTTCCTAAACAACTGCCATTAAGAGTTTAAGAAAACATCACTTCAGATGCACATTTTAGGTGGAGGCTAAAATGAAAAGGTAAGGTTTTGAATAAGATACTACAGGGTCAAAAAACTGTTGTAATACAACCTCAGTTATTCACCCTGTAATTTTTACACACATGTGTATCTCCACAGAAAAATAACTAGGGAAAAAGCAACTCCTTAGTTGTGTCTTTAAGAGAATTTAAGAAATTAGATTCAGAAATAGATTTGAATACACAGACCATCCTGGCAATTCCTGTTTTTTCAAGGAAGAGTGTTGCCATTATATACGTTACTGTCCACATTGTCTGTTTCACTCTGAAGAAATCTTTTAAAAGCCAGCGTTGCTGCAAATCCTGCCACAACTAACCATTAAGCTTTTTTTTCAAAAGTATTGCCATTGATTTGTACTTACCAAAGTCTATTATATATCTCATGGGTAAGGCCTTTAATTGTATGCAAATAATAAAGAAACATATTGGAAATATGAATAAAATAAAATATAACAAAGTTCTATTAGGCTGTCCATTATCCTCAGTGGCTTTCTCTAAAAAAAATAAATAAATAAAAATAAAAACACTTAAGCTTTTCCCTTATTTTCTTAAAATCATATTTTCATACTTATACACCTAGAGGCATTAGTAGAGTAGACAACTGAAGGCCTTAAATAACCCAGAGAGCAGAAAATACATGGGACTATTCCTGAAAACACTAGAAAAAATTCTGATAGGTGTGGTTTACTATAATATTCAATAGTATTAAAATAAATAACTTAGTTTTAAAAATAATAATAATATTGAACATATTGAACTGACTTTTTAGAATAACAGTTTCAAATGATTTTAGCCAGGGACTTCTCTGACATTCAACTAAATTTGATAGACTTGGCTTCTTGTTTCTTTTGCCTTTCATACCCCAAGGCCAATACTTAAAATAACTCCAGATTCAGGTTCTCTATATTTTCCTCATCTGTGTTCCCCAGGATATTTCTTCTAGCCCTTACTCTGCCTGCATTTCTCATCTATCAAAAGAACTATCCATCTCGTTTTTCATTTGTACTACATTCTCACCATGCTATCCTTGAAATCCATTCTATGGGACCATGTTCTATGTGAAAGTGCTATAATTAGATCCTTCTGGGTCATTTGGTAATGAACTCATCTGGATTTGATCCAACATACACTAGTTTTATACCAAATCTGACCTATTATGGCTAGAATTACATTAAGGTTCCATTCTAAGTCCTTTCTTATTAAAATTGTGAACTGTCATCCTAGGATTTTAAGCAACAAACTATGAAAACTAAGTTTACATAAGGATAATTAAGTTAAAGTACACACTTTCAGGTGTGACTTTCTTAAGAGTGAGCCAGAGACAAAGACAAATAGCCAGATTTTGGATCCCCTGCTAATTAGAATGGTAGCTCTCAAACTATTTTAACCAATATCCATGTAAACATGGCAAATAACCCTAAAAATCACTAGGAATAGTCTCAATTTCCATTGGAAGTATTATTTCATAATAGCAATGAAATGTCACTCATTGTATGAATAAATTTGGGAGAGGAGGCTAGAGATAGATGATATAGATGATTCACATTTGATTCACAATACACATCTGAGACATCAATGATAAAATTAGAGGGTGGGCCAGACCCAGTGGTATAGACCTGTAATCCCACCACTAGCGAGGCTGAAGCAAAGGGTCACTTGAGCCCAAGTGTTTGAGACCAGCCTAGGCAACATAGCAAGACCTCCATCTCCATACACACATACACGAAAAATTTGTTTTGAATTAGCTGAATGTGCTGGCACACACCTGTAATCCCAGCTACCTGGGAGGCTGAGGTGAAAGCATCACTTGAGCCCAGTAAGTTGATTGTGCAGTGATCTATGAGTGTGCCACTTCATCTAGCTTGAGTAACAGAGGGAGACCCTGTCTCAAAAAAAAAAAAAAAAAATTAGTGGTAAAATTAAGCATTGCTACCTACTATAGAGTTAAACAACACAAGACAAAATGGATTATGATGAGACTAAATGAGAAGAAAATTATAAATAAAAGCCAAGGATAGTAACAATTGAAAATCAGCTTCAGAATATTCAAGCAGCCTTCCTGAGGATGGTGGAAGTGCCACTCACGTCTGCAAGCTTCTCAGCATCACCAAGCACCCTGTGGGAGCAAGTGTAAAGAAAGGAAGAAAGAAAATCCTACAAACCTAGGATTAACAAAATTTGCCTTATAAACATTAAATCATTGTAACTGTGAATAAATTACATAGTATTTTGCTAGCAACCAGACTTTAATTGGATACGAAGATAATATCCTGTGGAATTACATGTCATTGCTCCTAAAGAACCAAAGAAAGAATTTAGCACCAGTGTGGCGATCACAGCCCATCGCTAGGCCAAGGGACAATTTTTCAAACATGTGCTTCAGTACTGAGCTCTTAAAAAATTAGATGTATGTTTGGTATGGTAGCCTAAAAGTTTGTCAATAATCACATTGCAGATTATCTGGATAACAACTCACGAACCAAATACTATCTATAACTCACTTCTGGCTCACAATACACATCTATGTTCAGGTTATCACTGGATCAAGCTGTGCCCCTTTATTGTCTAAGGCTAATGAGAAGTATATTTCTTAGATAAATGAGTGTACCTGATAAGTAAAGGCTAACCAATATCATTTGAAATCCTGATGAAGATTTCTCTATAGTTTGACGGTAGAAAATTCTGAGAGAATTGTCATAGCAAGTGACAAGATAGCTTTGGCATTACAAACTGAAAAGAGCCTGATTGCCATTTATGTGGTGAACAGCAATTTGATTTAGACAAAACAACTTCATCTGTCCATTAAATTAATGATCCTAATTTAAATTTTATTAGTTTTGTAGTTTTTATTGACTTGAACTTGTAAAATGGTTTTTCTTATACATAATTATATAAAGCCAATAAGCACAGAATTTATACCTATTATGTTTAAACGTGTTTAAGTAATACTATAATAAGAATAATTAAGTGAAAGCTTAGGGTCATTAAGAAACTTTGCTCTTAAACGGAGCCTATATAATGAGTGCTCTAGTTTGTGGCATTGAGAAGCACCTCATTGGCCTGGTTAATCCCCAAGAGAACAAAACCATAAATGAATGGGACAGGATGAATCTGAGGAGAAAACAGGTACACAGTGATCGGGAAAGAGATTAGGAGACATTTCTGCAGTCAGCTGAAAAGATTATAATAGGAAACTGCTTACCAAAAAGCTTCCTCCTGCCTTTTGAAGAGTTCTAGAATAATACTTGCTGGGAAACCCAGGCAACTGGAACTTTCTGGTTCTTCTAAAGAATTCTGTAACGGCCACAAAATATCTCCCTCAAACTTCCAGAAATTTTGCTAATTTTTGTTTTGTGTGTGTGTGCTTTTTTTTTTTTTTTTTTTTAACTTCCATACCCTTCTTGACTCAGAACTATCCTTATTGGATTTTTGCCACTGTTGCCAGAAACAATGATATGATTCCTCCCTTAGGGAACTTGAGGTAATTCTTTCAGTGGTTCTTCAATGTGAACTCTTTCCATTTCAATGCATTTTACACCTTGTTCAATATTCCTACAGGAAAGTTTGGATCGTCTTTTGTTGCCTGCTCTAAAAGCCATGAAGGTTCAACATTGTCTATTAAATTAGGCATTCAAGGCAATCATCCTGACCTTAATGATGTTTTCTTATCTGGCTTCAATCATTCTTCAGAGCATGCTCCCCAACACTTTCTAAACTTCAACAATATTACTAGATGCTCGTACCTATCACTTTCTGCCTCTGTGACTTTACACAAGCTGTTCTCTTAACAGAAAATATATGTGCCACCTACTCAGGTGTCATATGACAGGTTTCCTAAGACTCCTAGACTCTGAAGCGTGTACACAGGGTTTAATTGGGTAGTGCTCTCTAGAGTGGTACTGAGAGAGTGTATTAGTCTGCTCAGGATGCTATAACAAAATGTTAAAATCTGGATAGCTTTTATAAACAACAGAAATTTATTCCTCACGGTCCTGGAAGCTGAAAAGGTTAAGATCGAGGTGCCAGCAGGCACAGTGTCTGGTGAGGGCCCTTTTCCCGGTTTGTAGATGAAGCCTTCTAGCCGTATTCTCACTTGGTAGGAAGGGCAGAGCAGATCTGCTTTCATGATGTAATCACCCCTAAAAGATCCTACCTTGTAATACCCTTACCTTGGGGGTTAGGATTTCAACACACGAATTTGGAGGGGACGCAAACTTTCATACCATAAGAGACAGTAAGCCCAAAAGACTGAACAAAACGGGATTGTTTGGGAAGGCATTAAAGTTGAACTCAGATAAAATTGCAACAGTGGACTCTACTGATTATGTGGAGAGCTCTGAAGCTGAGAAAACTTCTCAGAGATGCCTCCAATCCAGGTAAAGCAGTCAGACAGGTCTGTGTACCTCTGTATTGACCAGTCATTGGAGGCTGGCTGCCCTGGAAATGGGATATAACTTTTGACAAGACATCTTTCTTCAACTGGAGGTAGGAGACAGATGAAGAAAGCTATGAACAGTCACAAGTAGTTCAAATCAGGCAGGTTCTGAAAGCAGACCTGCACAGTACAACACATCCGCTTCAGCCAATCCCTTGTGCCACTAAAACCACTTGTTTCATAAAGTATTTTCACCCACATTGGAGAAATTCCAGAATTCTGGTTGGTCTCTTTCCCTGGGGTCTCTCAGAAAAGGAAAGTTGTGGGACAAAGTACAGCTGAAGACTACAGCTGATACTCATTGTCTTTCCTCTGCTATCCATTTTTGATTCCCCTAACCCTAGTCTAACACCTCTGCTGTTGTAAGTAGTTTATAATGTACAGCAAATTAGATCCTAATTTCTGAGGATTCTGATCCCCGGGTCACCATCAATTTCTCAGATCATGACTGCTCTGTTTCCTTTTACTATCAAATTGTACAAGACAGTACCAAGAAATACTCCAGTGTCTCACCTGGGTGCCCACTGTGTTCTTCTGTGCCCCCAGTGTGTAACAGCAACCCTATCTTTTCCTGCTTATAAGGTTCAATTAGCCTACCAGGGTCACTATTGCTCTCCTTGCCTATTGGTCTCTTGTCAAAAGAATCTGATATAACTGGATGGGATCCATAACACAGTTTAATGGAACTCAGGATATATCCCTTGGGGTCACCATTCCTCATCTAAGAACATTTCTAGACATACAAAACCTAGAGTTACAAATGTGGGAAGCACAAATTCCCCAAGTGGGTCACTGCAAATGAAGGTGAGTGAGGCCTCCTCTGTTTCTACCCCGTATTTCTAGACTCATGAAATCTACCCACTAGGGATATAGCATCCTACTATAGTCATTTATTTGAGTATTGCATTCCATGGGCTGGCACCTATCCTCACAAATTAGCACCTCAGTTGTACCTTCAAGAGACTCTTCAACCAACAACCACTGGGGGGTGCAGTATGTGACAGAACCAGTGTATACCATTATCACGCACCTGCCGTCATATCTCCATGGTTGTAAAGTGGCTTCTTTAATCCAAGAAAAAGCTAGACAAGATTCTATGCTGGTGGATCAAACACTGTCAGGCAGCGGTTCTAGCTGAGGCTCTATAAGCCAGAAGTGGAAACTCGTACCAGGAATATATGATGATTTCCATTAAAATCAATCACTGCCCTTTCCAGAGTAGGAGGAATCCAGTGAAAACAGCTTGCCACCAAGTTGGTGGCTGGTCTCCTCAAGAGCTGATGACATATCAGGGGCTCATCATTGGTTTGTATGCTGACATGATGAACATTAGGTAACAACATTAGCAAGATCAGTCTTGGTAAGGAAATAGTCATACATTGGAGCTCCTACACTCCATCATAACTACTCCGTTCACAAGCCCGTTTTGCCAGAATTCAAGTGGTTGAAAACAAAGGCTGACTGATGTCAACTCTATAAGTGATCTGTCTACTTGAGTGTTTAGTAACTTTCCCACAATGAGTGCTCTCTGGTGGAAATTAACATGCAAAGCAAAGTTTGCCCCACTCTGTGCACACTCCCATAGGTCTATTCACGTGCCTCTTCTCTAGGCATCCTTATCTGCATATTTTGTTCTTTGTCATTTTTATTCACCTAACCAACAAGTGTAACCACTTGACAGTGTCCAGGAGCCCATATATGTTCTTAGTTTGGGCCACTTCTCTTTCCACACAAAGGGCTTACTAGGTGTACTAAACAAAACTATGCTTAATGGAGGAATTTATCGGTATTACACTTTGTTGAGACAATTCCTGAGCTCTAGTGCATCTATACCCACGTTCCAAGCTAACCCACCTGTAAAACACATTCAACATTTTTACTCTTCCATCACCTAATCATAAGGGACACTCCTTTCTGTGGCCATAGGTGTGAGCTAAGGGAAAGATTCCAGTGCAACACTGATATGCCAGAGCATGGTGTTCTGAGAAACCTGCTCAAGCCTCTTCCTCATACTCTGTGGTTCACCTCACACTCCATCTCAGATGAACCACTTCTATCTCATGATGGTCTGTGGCTGGGCCGGCCCAGTCTTATGATTCAGTGGGTCTGCCAGAACACAAGTCACAGTGGGCGTCTCAGACCCCACGACATTTGATGTTTCACAATCAGATTCTCCACCTCTACTAGAACTCAGTAACATACTGAGATAAAGAATATAATAAAGAAGCTGTTTATTTCAATATTGTATACCTCTGTGCTGCCAAGGGCATGACTTATCCCATATCTATGTTGCAAATACTCTTTTTAGGGTTTTACCCACCATAGATACCTGTAATACCATAAAGTATTATATAACCCAAGTGGCAAGATGCCTGGAATTGTACCCTGGACTATACAAGAACATATTTCTTAGAGGTGACAGCCTTCTGTTCTGTGCCAGTCAGAGA